GCCTCTTTGATTGTCAATTCGTGCCTTCATGGGTGGTGTTTATATCACAATTTGATATTACAAGATTCATTGTCATAGAAACTAATCCGTAATTCATCTCTTCAGATTACCCAAGACCTGAGCAGGATGAAACGTTTCAACTCACAGGAAGCTCTTGAATATGGGCTCGTTGATCGAATTGTCAGGCCGCCACGCATTAAGGCTGACGCTCCTCGCCAGGATGCAGGCACAGGTCTTGGATAAGAACACATTTGTAATCCACATTACTGAGTAATATGGCTGAATCAAAATGTTTCTCGTGTAGTATTTCTTTCGTCATTTTGTCGAGCATGTATACCAATATTTGGATAGTTAGAATCTGCTGGATAGATATTGATTACTTGTTTAGAAGTGAATGAATTCGAATTCTAATTGAAAGCAGTAACTTGAGTTGGCTGAAACGTAGTTGCTCATCAGACCCTCTTCTCTTGCAGTCCCATCTCGTCTCTGTACCTGAAAAATAACCATTATCATCTACCCCCTTAGATTGTAAGCAATTACAGAAGAGTGTCAGAAATTCCATAGTAAACAAATCATTTTATTAAGAAATTCTTACATGTTCGTTATCTGTTTAACATAATTTTTATTTTTAATATACATCATTCAAAACTATAAATACAAAAACCCAAATATAAACATAGACACTAACAGATAAAATCTAGATCTTCTACAATTCATTATTTTTGCCTGTCTTTTTTAGACTTATACCGAATAAGTATTCGAATGATATTAGAGATATGGTTAGACAGTTTAATCGATGTGCATTTGTTATTTGAAGTTTTAATTATTGTTAGTATTGTCTATTAAATACTGAAGCAAACAATTTAAATGTTGTAATATTTTTAGTATTTAAGTTGGCATTTTTTTAGTGTGATAGTAGTTTAATAAAATGTAAGAAAAAATAATAATATAATATCATTAATGTTTTGTCTATTTTTTTTTCTTTTTTAATCTGAAAGATCAGCAAATCGGTCCATTAGAAAAAGTCCATTTATTTTAGTAATAAAAATTGGTTGTTTCTTTTTTCACCTTCATAGTTTGTTCCTCCACCCCATAATTAAAATAAATTTTATTTTACTTTTCATTAAAATATGTTTATATTTGAAACTTATTTTAGAAATATATTTTGGATTGGACATTTTAAAATACATTTTCAATCAAATTAGATGTTTTGAAAATACATTTTCATTTGAGTGTTTTGAAATGTATTTTCGGAACAGTTCAATTAGTAGATATATTATAAAATACTCGTTCTAAAATATATTTCTATCATAGTGAATCTAAAAATACATTATAAAATGAATATTCTGAAAGTATTTTCGGATTAATTCTTTCAAAAATATATCATAGATTAAGAATTTTGTAACTCATTTTCTGGTTTAAAAATATGATTTGGATTGAACTATTTCAGTCTTATTTTTATGTAATAGGTATAAAATATTAATAATTTTTTATTTTAATATTCGATGAAGGTGGGACTGCAATAAAACGAAATTGCAAGAACTTTGGAGGTGCAGAAATGTGGGAGAAAAGAAGCTTTTTTTAGGGTTTCAAACAAAAATTAGTTATAGGCGTACAGAATGAAATTATGGGGTGCTGCGAGAAAGAGTCTTAAAATTTGATATACCCAACCTTAATGGGTCATTCTAGTCGGTATACCCTACTCTAGTTAAAACTGAAATTGAATGTTTACAGTTCTGGAAATTTAAATTGTATTATTATTTTGCCAATACAATATTATTTGAATAATGTAGAATTGAGTTCCCAAATAATCTAGTCCTTAAATTCATAAAGTGCGTACTTGTACATATTCAGAAGGTCGTTCTTGTAGCTTCTCTGTCTTCGGGTTGTTGAACGTGATTTTGTTACTTGTTGTGGTTGCAGACGTGATTCTACACACGCATATGATACAGTGTAACTTGTAAATGAGTAAGTCCATGAATTAAATCATGTCAAATAAATGTAGGAAATGTGATGCCTTTAACTTCTTATTTTCCTTTTTAAATGTATGTTTGTTGCGTTATCTATTTCATAACAAGTAACAAAATATATCTATTGTTTTGTATCGTAGGAAGTAAGAAACTCCATTAAATTGGATGTGAAGATCACTATGTAACAAGGGACTGAAAGAAAAGTTAGTAGTAAATACTCAAATTAATGATGACAAACATCAAAGTTATGATGAAGTGTGACAGTCTATGGTCCAGACCAAATCTTGTTTTTTTTCAAAAAATAAACTTATATATATATATATATATATATATATATATATAACTGTATAATAATTTTTATATTATTTTGTTCATTTTTTGTTTTAAATCATTATTTTATTTTTAAATATAAAACGTGAGATGTGATTTAATAATTATATATATCATTCATAATATTTATATCGAGTGAATTTTCAATCGATGGTAATCTCAGAGAAAAAAACGATTGTGATATATTAATATATAATGAATGTATGGTAATGGACTTTAAATATTTAAGTTTTAACAAGAAAATAAAATAAAACTAAAAGTTACTAGTGTATATATATATATATATATATATATATATATATATATATATATATATATATATATATATATATTAAAGAATAAAAAACATGTTAGTTTAAATTTGAAATGATATTTTGTTAATAATAAAAAAATAGTGAGAAAGTTAAATCAAATTGGTTTAGAAAACAATAGTTAAATTTAAATTAAATAAGTACAAATATAAAATTTAAAAATAGGCTTAATTAAGTTTTTAATTCTAGATATTTATAGCTTTTTTGTTGGTTTTCGATGTTTTTTTAATCTCTTTTGTTAGCTTTTCCATTAAACTCGTGAAATAAATAAAAAATGGTAAATTTTGTTAATATTTAAATTGACTAATTTATCAAAATTTTAAGTAAACTATTGGAATTAGCACAAATATGCTTAACATGAATAATTACTAATCAATTGTAGTGTAATACTCAAATATGTTTCATAAATTATATATATATATATATATATATATATTTTTTTTTTTTCTATTTTGTAAATACATTATTTTTTATTTTAATCTTTATAAATATATTTTTATTCCCAAAAAATATTTTATTTTTAATTTTAGTCCAAAAAATATATACATTTTTATTTTATTTCCTACAAATAAAATAATTTTTATATTATCCTACGAATGTATCACATTTTTTATTTTGATTTAATATATTGATATGACTGTTTGCAATATTGAGTTGACAATTTCATTTATATATCGTGTGATAATGTAATTACGACATTACGATGATGCTAATACCATTATATTTAATAAAAAAAACTAATGACGAGGACTAAAAGTAAAATAATAATAATAATAATAATAATAAAATAGGCATTAAAACCAAAATATTTTGGTATCATAGATAAAAAGTCAATTAACCTTTCAGAATATGTGAATAAATTAAAATTGTAAAATATGTGATGAAATAGATTCACCCAAATCTAATGAAACCGAGGAGAATATGGGCGAGCTAAAAAATTTAAACCAATTTCTTTAAAGAACTTTTCGTTCCTTTCTACAAGTATGGGGTTTCAACTTGTTATATATCAATCTTATATGTAGATATTTATGTTATGAAATATTTTTAGATAGAAGTAATTTGAACAATAGTATATTTTTTATTGAAAGTATGTGCCGAAACTTTTATGTCTTGTACTTTTATTTACAAATACTTAAATTTTATATTAAACCTTGCTCCAAGCCACTATTACACGATTCATAATGTCATAAAAAAAATATGAATTTCATCGATCACATTTATTCTTCAGGTCAAATTTTGTTAAAACTAATAGAAATATTTATTTATTGAAAAATACTCTAGTTTTGCGCATATTTCACTTTCGCCAAGGGACATTATACCCTAAAATCAGTGACTATGGAATGCTATCTGCTAGGTCAATTTTAGTGGCTTTGAGAATATTTATAATTCTGTAGGAAAACCACGCATGACATGCATATCCAATATAATTAGGAACAAGCTAGTGGGATATATGGATTCAGACAGGGACATGGACCCAACAACTTTAATGTTTACAAAATTAAAATAATGCAAGTAGTGGGTTTGGCTCAGAATATCACTGTCCTTTCAAGTTTTATATTTCCCACAAAAACAATAAAACAAAAAGTAGTGCAAACCAACCTGAGTGTAGAGTTCAGATGTCAAACCAAGGTTCAACAGATGATGTTTATATATAATACAAGACAATAGATTTACGTTACGTGACCGAAGATTATGGCGGTTGACAAAATTAAAGTAATCCAAACCAAATGCTAAACCCAGCTTCACGGCACATTTATCTACATAAGACAAACCTGCATCAAGAATATGGCCGTTCACGACAAAACACCCTAGATTCTCGGAAGAGAACTAAATCATAGAAAAATTAAATATTGTCTCGGAACTTCTTCAGACACACGCACACAGCATATTTATAGCAAGTAAGGATTAGATACGTTCTAAGATTGAAATATAGAAGAAAACAACGTGTTTTATGTTACTATTCTGGCTAACATGGAAACTTATATTTGAGTTAATTAACTGATCAGGAAGCTTAGGTAGTGTAAAATAATTAGAAATGATCATTCTCAAATTAGGAATATTTAGTGTCTTGATAAACAAGGAATAACGTTGATTGCATAATCTATCACTCCAAAAGAAGATGGACTCTAAGGCATAACTATGACATCAAAGTGTTCTTCAAGACACAACGTCTGCATTAAAAGCATACCTAATCAGCCAACTCAACTCAAATTCTACAAGAACAGGAACCTGGTAAACCTCTGAAAACAATGGTGGTCCTGGTACACAGTCAACAAGCTTACAGACACAACAAACAAGGAAAGGAGACCAATAACTAGGAATCATCCCATTACAATGTTGTCAGCAGCAAATGCATGTATATGCAGATGGAATGAGCCCTATGAATTAGTTACCCTGCTGGAAGCGACACGTTAATGTCAGCTGGCTTACTCTTGGCCTCTGCTGGCGTAGCAGACCAACTTTCTCCACGGATGGAAGTCGCTGATGATAGAATTGGTATTGGATCAAGAGTGGAGATGGGAACAATTGCAGCTGGTGCCACACTTGATATAACTTCATGTTTCTGTTTTCTTGGCTTCTGTTCATGTTGGTTTCCTGCTAGAAAACTTCCTACCACTACCTGAGACATATCAGTCAATTGGAAATTTGAACGGTCAGAATCATATAAACTTTTATCGAACACACTAAAGTGTCATCTTGTACTTGAAATTTGAAATTAAATTGTTGTTACATTTCATCCAAACATAAATCGCCTTAAGTAGTCTTTAGTATGTGAAGCATATTAGTCTGTTACATATCTGATTTTAGGCCTATGCATACTTCATTGATTACAAAAGAAAAAAGATAATAAATCTACGAATTGAAAACATACCTGCACAGGACTTGCAGCCACCAATAAACCAGCTACTCCCCCACCCACAACACGTCCATCAGGGCTTGCCAAAGATACACTCATGCCACCGGATCTGCTTCGTGTTCCTCCACTTTCATTGGGCATGAATGAGCCAGATAAAGACAAAATTTCAAACCGTCCCTGTTGAAACAGCAGCAAGAAAGGTTGGATTTCTTCTTGTGATAGACGAGAGTAGTTTTAAGAACCTCTAAAGAAATAGTTATACTTCAAATATGAATACAGAACGAAAAGAAGTTAACAGGTTGAGCCAGAGTATTTCTACTGTGTTTGATGAAACAATTGACTAGTAGCAGTAACCAAGAGTAATTAACTGCAGCAACATAATACGGGCAAAAACATGGAAAATAAAAGATATGATAGAAATGAAACGCAAAAACAAAGTTCAGATAGGCAGGAGTGGTAGCATTATTTAACAGTGCAGATCATTAAATGCACTGTGAAATTATATGAAAATTTTCTTCACACCATCTGATTGATGACAGCCTGAGAAGAGAATATTTATTTTATTCCACTCATTAGCCCATAGTTCTTTCCGCAAATAAACACCAATTAGTGACATGGCTCGTTTGTTAAACTTCATTCGCACCATTCACCATTGTGTGATCAAGAAACAATCCAATTCAATCAGTTTAGTAATTCAGGCAGATCTGACAGGCTGCTAAGCATTTTCTAATATTAGTTATTGTCATTGAAACCATCGCCTCGATCAGATTGAACTCAATTCCACAATCTAACATGTAGTCAAATAAATTCCAGAGTCAATACAACTGCTAAGAGACCTTCAAACAATTTTTTTACCAGTTAACCATCAAGTTGACACAGTATGCTAAAGTAGAAATGGATAAAAATATTTCAAACAATGAAAAAAAAAAAAAAAAACACTGCACAGAAGAATAAGAATACAGAAAAAACAACAAATAATACAAAATAGGGAAACACCAACATCATTAACATCTAGATCCATCCTTTTAATAATTACACTTCGTATCATCGACAATGAAACATTAAATACTTTGTTCATGGAATAAAATGATACAATCAAATTGCCCAAATGCTTCACCTCATATGTCAATGTGCCCCCAGAAGAATCGGGCTGACGAAGTGTGACACTTGATATGACACCATTAGCTGAAAGAATGCATATAGCTCGAGGCCCTTGCTGAGAAAATGATATTACCTTCATAGTAACATCCTAATAAGATAACAAAAGTATTCGTCACTTGTAAACCATCGTATAAAATATTTTCAAGCTATTACAGTAAAGAATAAAATGAATATAGTCATTCCTGGAAACAAACAAGTTGTTCACTATGCTCTCTCTCATTCTCATTCTTTCGATAATTAATCGTTCATGTTTCATATAATTATCACTTTGTACGGCAAAAGGCATGCATGTAGCATATGTTAAACTCAGAGAGAACGAGGCCAAAGAAAAAGTGAAAAACTGACCACAGAAGAAACATATGAAGGGGGAAGGAAGGAGAAATATAAGTCACAGATGCAACGATTATTTTTGGTGGATATTTACCAAGAAAATGTCTGAAGATATTATTCCACCCATTAATTTTGGCTACTCTCTGACCATGAATTTGAGTTTGCAATGCATAAAAAGAGCACAAAGGTAATAGATACTTCTGACACTTACCTCCCCAGAATTAACAGTGATGATATGGGGAGTGAAATTAGCACCAACTGAGCATGCCACCCATTCACCTAAAAAAGGGTAAGAAAATAATTAACAATAAAATTGGAAACGAGAAAGCCTCAGTTTCTATTATAAGACAAACACAGGCCAAATAAAGAATGGGAATATTTAAATCATATTTACCATCTAAAAAGTTTAACTATTATTGTGCGTGTCAAGAACTAATTGTTAATTGCATTATCAGCAAATAACTGCGTTAAAACTCAACATAAGGTTGGTTAAATAATTGGTACATATAAATTTTATTCTTCCATTACCTTCATGGCGATCAAATAATATCATTAAGTTTAATTAAATTTCTAAATAAAAAAAATCATAAATACTTTTCAAAAATAATTCTACATGTTTTGTGATAATTTCTTACAAAAGCTACTCATTCAAATACATATAAAATATCATATTACCATCTTATACACACAAACTAACTTCATGAAGCCTAGACTGATGAAATCGAATAGAAAAGTAGAGTTCCTGGTTAATACGTTTACAGTCTGATCAAACAGTACGTTTGTTTGTTTCCCATTTAAATCTCAGAATAGTATACGCTTTGCGTGCATGAATATATATACATCCCAACAAGCAAACAGACAATCCATATTAGCGTCGTCATCCAGAAAGCAGCATGAGAAAGAAGGACCACGCAATTGCATTGCATCATCTATCAACCAAGTAGTACTAAATAGCGTTGGTTGATGTGAGAAGACCAAAAAGAGGACCTGATGTCAACTTGGTCTTCGGACCTCACCTCTTGCCAAACAACACACAGTGAGTGAGTGTGAGTGAGTGCACAACAATATTAAAGTCCTTCCATCACCCTACCCCTAGAAAGCAACACCCACAACATTACTATCCTACAAAACACACACGCTCAAAATAAAAATAAATACAAAATAAAATAAACCTGCATTTTTATTTCCCTCCTATGAGTCCAAGTGTGTTCCCCATGAGTTGCAGATGGTAGTACCTAAAAGATTTGCTTTGGTTTGGGGTGCTACGGTCATGTTTGAACTGCCAAAACGACAGACATAACGAGATTCCACCGTCCCATACCGACCCACAAAGCTAATTCACTTTTCAGGACAACAATTACCTTAACTTGGTCATCCAATCAATCAAAGGTCCCACACAGTCAATATGCCCCTGCCTCCCCCTCATTCCACTTCCCTATAAGCCAATTACTCATCCCAATCTTTCTATTTTTTCCAACACCAAAAACAAACAGACAACACAACACAACACACTTACACTTACACTTCAACTCAAATTACTTCTTCAATTTAAAAAACAAAGACAAATCAAAATGATTTCTTTATTTATTACCTAAATTCTCCAACTCAAATTTGGCTTTGCTCAGGGAACTAGTTGGTTTAATTTTTCCGCGCTTCTCCGACGAGAAATCGATCACCGGCGGCAACGGAGCGGAGGAAGATATCGGCTTCGGAGACAACGCCAGGGTCACCGACCCGTCCGGTGCGTACTTTCTCGGCCGGCCCCTCTTCTTCTTAGCCGGCAGCGACGCCGGCGACGCCTCCATCGCCGCCGTATGTGGCGGATTTGGCGGCGGAGCACTTCCCGTCGTCACCGGAATCTGCGTCGTGGATCCGATTGCTGGAGCTGGGTTGTCGGTCCTCGGAGCTACATGGTAATCCGACGGAGCATCCGATCCCACCACCGTAACGCCGCCACTGGACTCCATGTTCAAACACTTGTGAAGTAGTAGTCACACATAACATAAACTAAAATCAGTCGTCAGTATCTGATTTTTTTTCTTCTTCAAACTCGATCACCCAAAGGCCTCTCTACTAAGCTGGGAAATAATATTTTAGAAAATATTGAAAATTTATGCCAGAAAATGAGAAAATCAAATTGAAATCTCAAGGAGCTGGGCAAGAAACAAGATGCGGGAAATCTTCAGTTTTGCGCCATTTGCATGAATTTGTGATTAAAATAAATTAGCAAGATTGGGTGAAAAGGAAAAATAAAATTATGAGCTGCTAAAATTTAGTGGTAGAAAATAATGAATTTTGAGAAAATATAGATGGGAAAATATTGTGCAGAAAGAAAGAGTGAAATTTGAAAAATTGAGTTTCGAAAGGAAATGAAAATGGTGAGATAAATGAATCCTTGTTTATGTTGATCAGGTAATTGGGTTCCTAACTTTCCTAAGATTGTCCAAATTGAGATTAAAAAAATAAAGGGGAGGAAAAGGAGATATACTGAACCGGGTGTATTAAAAATGATTTTGGTGAATTAATATTTAATGTGGGAAATAATATTTTAAAGGAAATAATTATTTGGTTTTGGTTGGAATCTGGTGGAGAAATGTATAAAATAGTATTAAAGTTGTTGAGAGGGGCTTTCTTTTTCTTTCCCCATTTTAAAATATATAATAATGTGTGAATATGGACAAAGGGGAAAAAAAAGAAAGAAAAAATAAAGAAAAGAATCACCACACGTTACCATATGATTTTATTAGGTGAATGAAAAAGTAAAATAGGTTGCCAAGAACCAAAGAAACTATCCTCCAAAGGAAAAGGAAGGCATGCTAGAGGGTCTCTGAAGCCAAGCATGTATATGACAATATCATAGTATATCTATTAGCCAAATGCCATGATTTCTATGTAATAACTATCCTCCATCTTTAGGGTTTTACATTTTTTATTTCTAATTCATCTCCACCTGTAACAACTCAAATTTGACTTTTCTAACACTTTTCTTTTCTACACATCACCTCACCTGTGTTTTTAGAAATTAAACTGAAATTTTTCATTTAAAATGAAGTTGTGATTATGTACCTAAAGAATAGGGGAAATAAATCGAAAAGGAGCCGTGACCCGCACTTTAGCTTTTTTCACGCTTAAACAAAAACTTTATTTATGAGTGGAATAAATTGTAAAGCAAGACATTCATAAATTCTCCCTCCACTTAGAACGGAAAGGTTAATTTGAGAGAGCGATATAAATGAGATCATGAAATTAATAAATAAATAAAGTGAAGAGTACAACAAACAGTGCTTCTGCTTCTTCCAAGTTCCAGCATTTGCCCATCACAATTTCACAAACTGCGGCTTTTCCACTTTCAAATCTCTCCCACGCCACCACTTTTTTTTTATCCACCTCTTCTAAATATTTCTATAATATACATGTACAATACAATTTTATCTATACACATATAATCATCAAGTTAAAAATGTCAAATAAGAATTACTATTCGTAAAAATAATTTTGATAATACTTAAAATTTCGATTCATAAATCTCCTGACTTAAAAATAATTTATATATATATTTTTTCAAAAGATAGTTTTTAAATATAAATTATTAATAAATTAGAGTTTTAATATAAATAATACTTCAAACATGTAATTCAGACACTCTTATTAACTGTAAATAAATCGTAATTGGTTTTTCAAATGTTACAAACAACTTTTATTTTCTTAAATTGGATTTGTCCTTAAAATTATAGATTTAAAGAATAATGATGATATGATAATTAAATGCACTTCCCAATTTTGAGTATAGTTTACTCCTGAAACTTTTTGTTTTGTAATATATATACTATACGTCTGGTACTCATTAATCTTAAATTAAAAATAAAAATAAAAATAAGGGGATAGGTGTTGTGTTGTGATGTGGGTGTAAACTAAGTAGATCATGTGCTGAAACAACCACTGGTTGTTAGTGGCTGCACATGGGGGACTATAAAATTGAGTGCCTCTCCTCTTTAATGCTGTTAATTATCTTTTCCCAACAAAACGGTTATTTTAAGAGTATAGTGGAATCATGCCTGTTTGAAACTTGAAGAAGGTTAGAAAATAAAATTAAATACAAATTGATCGCGTAAAGGGAAAAAACCTTACCAAATCAGAGTTTTTTTTTTTTTTTTAATTACGATTGATTACTCATACCATTTTTAGAGGATTAATAATATGAATAATTAAGAAATGTGATTAAATTCTAGTTGTTCCGAATTTCATACTTAAAGAATCTAAGAAAGTTACAACATGCAGTACCCAAATTCTTATAGTAAATATTTCTAAAGTATATATATAAATAGTAAATATTTTCTTTTATTACATATAAATAAACTAAATAAAAAAATTATAGGTATAAATTATTTGAATTATAATGTTAATATGGAGTATCATGACGTGGAATTTAATTTAAATAATGATTAACTATTTAAGAAATAATTAAATAAACTAAATAAAAAAATTATAGGTATAAATTATTTGAATTATAATGTTAATATGGAGTATCATGACGTGGAATTTAATTTAAATAATGATTAACTATTTAAGAAATAATTAGAGAGAAATCAAATATAAAAAATCATTTTAATATAGGAAAAGGAACCAAATGTGTATTATTATTTGTTTTAAAAAAATTGTAATAGGTAAGATTCAAACCCAATATTTTAGAATTGGAGACTCATACTCCAACCACTAAACTATTAAGATCTTCCGATAATAATTTATAAATAAATTATATTTATATACAAATAAATGTATATCTGTGTAAATATATAAATATAAAATATAGAAATATAGAATATATAAATACAAATATATTTATATATTTTGATATATTTATATATTTATATAGTTATATATTTATATGTTGGATGTGAGTGCGCACTCGAGGGTGAAAATGTGTATCGAGTGGATCTTCAAAATTTGATACCAAATTTAATCTAATTAATAGAACAAAATTTTCCTTACATAGATTATTATAAATTAATCAAAATCATCTTTTAATAATTATTTTTTCCAGACATAGATTAATTTATAATAATTATTAAATAAAATAATTTTAAAAATAAATATTTAATTATTTTTAATATTTGAAAAAATTATTTTAATATAAGAATTTCAATTAAATAATAGAAGAAAAAAAGATAAAAAAAATAAATTAAAATAAAATAAAAATAAATAAATAAAAAATTTATTTTATATCATTATATAAATAAATTATAAAGATTATATTCTATCATTAAATTACAAACACATACAAAGAGACTCGCTCACACATTTGACATCAAATTTTGAAAACACACTCGACACACTTTCACCCTCGAACACATTCTCACATTCAACATATAAATATGTAAATATATAACTATATAAATATATAATTATATCAAAATATATAAATATAAAAATATATTTATATTTATATATTTTGTATTTATATATTTACACGGATATACATTTATTTGTATATAAATATAATTTATTTATAAATTATTATAAAAAAATCTTAGCAACTTAGTGATTGGAGTATCGATCTCTACATTATTCAAAACTGACGTTAAAAATGTATTTAACATCGGCTCAATGATAAAAAAATATATACAAATTCACATAGACTAGAAAAATAGTCAATTGCATTTGATTTTATTAATATGTTAACACTTTTTTAAATACTTTATTGTAAAACAAAAATATATATAATGATGGTGTAACAAAAAGTTAGCCATTAACTAAAATAGGGGTATTTTAACCAAAATATTATCAAATGAAGCAACAGTAGTTAAAATTAATTTATATTTGAGAACAACAATATTTTTTTTGTGTGTAAAATGAAAACAGAAGTAGTATAATAGTGTAACAAAAATTTAATATTAATTAAAATTAGGATATTTAAAAAAGTATTAAATAAAAATAAAAAATGCTTATATTTGAGAAGAAGAAAAATGTTAAATGATATTTTTGTTACTTATAAATAAGAACCGATGTAGCTCATAAGCTAATAGTATTTTGACTAACTTATAACCTAATTTTATCCAAATGTAAATGTTATATTGGTATAATACTTGAAAGGACTCTCTTACTTAGTTTAATGTACAGCTTGGATGTAGGTGTGTAATAATCATGCAAACACAGTAGATTCCAAAGTTTTTGGTGTAAATGTCATTTATCATCCTAACAAATAGGATTTCGACCAGAGACGTGAGTATTCCATTTTATGACAGCTCAATTTTTATGTTTGAATAGGGTATTGGATTATACGGATCGGTTCATTGTGAGGTAAGTTAGAAATAGATGAGTTTAATCCGTTTATTTTATAGGAATTAAATTATAGGACTGAAATGTATTGATGGTGATATAGTATTGAAATATGATAAATAGTTGTAGGACTGTAATGTAGTGGTATGATAAATATTGGGAGGTCATAAATTTTGTGGTGGGACTAAAATAAGGTGATTAAGTAAATACATAATAAATATAATAAATACGATGATATAATGAATAATTGGTGACTTGAGCAAGATTTTGTTTGTTATAATTATTTTTAAAATTTAAAATAAATTTAAAATTACAAATTAATCTATCCTATCTTGATTTAAACTTATGTAATATATAAATTAAATGAGTTAGATTTATTTTTAACCTATTATTAATAAAAAAAAATTCAATTTATCTTGAATCTCGTAGTCAACTAAATTGACTCACAAGTTATTATCCATATTATTATTTCTATATTTAATGTATTATTTATTTTAAAATTATATCTTAAAAAATGTCTCAATCAATTAAAAAAAAAAATATATATATATATATATATATATATATATATATATATATTATTTTTCTCAACTCCTAAAAACTCACCGTAATTCCTACTAAAAAAATTGAATATATTATCCTTGTTTCTTTAGCCTTCAAATTGTTAGAACCATTTTGTGAATTCCTGATA